ATATATATATATATATATATATATATATATATATATATATATATATATTGTGTGCATTTTAGCTTATATTACTACCTTGAAATACTTATTCATTCAAATTCATCCTGCTGCACCATTATATTCTACCATGTTGTTGTTTACTATCTCTTTAGGACATCGTAAATATTATAATTACTTTCTCACTTTTTGGTACTTTATTTTTGTACCCTTATTGCATGCTTTAGTATTTCTCATTCATTTGTTCTTTGATTTTGTAGCAAGTCAAATTGGTTCTTCTCATCTTAAGCATTTCATTGTACTGTTAACCTTGTGTTAAACTTGCATATGACAAATAAACACAACTTGAACTTGAATCTTCCAGATCGTCCCTGGCAATGTGCAACTTATTCTCATATTGACGCTTGTTTGGTGTCGTTTATTGAATTGTAAGAGTGAAGTCTGAAAAAAAAAAAAAACTGTCAAATGAGCAGTTTAATTATTATTGATTTACTTAGCAGCGGCCTCAGTAGCATGTGGAAGAACCATATACAGCCACAACAGCCTGGCACCTCCTCATTATGCTGTTCAACATTTTGGTTACAGACTACTGTGGGATGGTATCCCATTCTCAACCAGTATATGTTGCAAGTCAGCCTATATGGTTGTGTTGGTTAGTTTGGAATGAAGAGGCCGTTCAAGCTGGTCCCACAGGTGTTCAAAATGGTTGTGGTCAGGACTTTTATTCCCCAACTTTGTTTGGAAATTATATACAATTATATATTTTGATATACATCCCAATTCAAAAGAATAATGCAATTTTACAAAAATAAAAACACATATATGCATCTAAAATAAAGAAATAGATATTTTTACAGGTCAGGACTTGTTATGGTAGGCACTGTCAACTTGGAGGATAAAATTTGGTACCAGACTATCGAGATATGGAATTTTATGTAGCAAAAACTTCGGAATGGATGTTTTTTAATTTATTAGTGACATTTTGATGAAAGATTTTTATTTAACATTGGAACATGTTAGATTAGTGTTCCTAAAGAATAATAAGAATGCAAAAATATATGTATATATTAAAAGGTACTCATTGCAAATATGATATTAATGTTGAATTTAACTTTATCAAAGGGTGCAGTTAGAGCTCTATGGTAATTTTCAGATATGTTTATAAGCCTTTCTGAAATGCGGGAAAGCGTTCAATGTAAACAAAGCACTCGTATGAATTTGCTAATAACTAAGTGGAAGCTTGAGTGACGTGACTGATTTCAATTAGGCTAGCATCGGTCTGTGTAGGTGAACAAATACGGAGGAATACAAGTGTAGGATTTTGCAGAAGACGTTTAGTGGAATTTGAGAAATTCTGCTGCTAAATGAGAAAGAGAAAAGAGAGCTCAGCATTCAAACACACTGAGCTTAAAAACAGTCATAGAAGTTTCATTATTGATTTACTTAATAGAGGCCTAGCATGTGGAAGAACCATATACAGCCACAATAGCTTGGCACCTCCTCTTTATGCTGTTCACCATTTTGGTTAAACACTACCATTACCTTTTCACCCTGATCTATCTTGTTATCTGCAGATTTTACTCAACAAATGAGCGTGGTCTCCGTGATTGTTTTCAGTCACTTCAGCTGTTTCCGTAGTGAAACGAACGTATGCGATAGGTGGCAGATGTTCACAACTTTTGCTTACAAATTTTTAATTGTTTTTTCGGACATAAGTTTTGTTTTGACCAGTTTTATGACTTTGCCACGACCAATGTTGCATCCACAAATAATCAAAAACTTTGCAAAGGATCAATCTAAAGTTACATCTCAAGGCACTTTGCTACCAGCAGCTCGTCACAAAAACAATTTGTTTCTTCCTATATCCATCCCTCACTTCTGGTAAATAATAAGTTTATGGATTAAGACAAACTAATTAAACAAACAGCGCGAGAACAAGTAGAAAGCAACTTATCTGCCACTGAGGCTGAGAGCATGCTGAGAGATTAACAGCTGCTCGTGGCTTTATGTTACAAAACAATGTCCAGCGCGCAGCTCTACAGCAACAATGGGCGCTCTGAACGCCAGAGGCCTTGAGGTGAAAAACTGATCCATCTACTCCCCAGGGAGGTCAACTGTGGATCTTATGGATCGGGCAGCTCTGCAGGGATTCAGTGTTTTGCTCAAGGACACATGAGCAGGGCAGATTCTGTCTGTTCAGCTTTGTTTTGTCCAACACCGTGTAGCTCAAGGAGTCCAGCAGCGTCTTTACTTCATGCAGAGCATGACTGTACCCACAGAGATAAAATGAATGAAAGTCCCACACTATATATTTTTTCCTTAATATGAGGATTTTAAGAAATCTATCGCCACACATATTCATAAAATAAATATTTTTAAACAGACAAGATTGTAGTTTTGAAAATGTTTTTACAAACAATGTGATAATTTTAATACAAATATATGCAAGTAGTGACAATTGGGAGATTATTAGATAATACGAGTTATTTAAATGTATAATTTCTAGTCTGTAGACACTTTTTATCCAAATAACTTTATGCTTTTTATTTAAATCAAACATCGCCCTCTGCTGACAAACTTGAACAGTCAAAAACAAGATGAGTACCATGTTTTTCTAAAAACAAGACTTTCTGAAACTACTACTTTTGTCAGTTTTTATAAAATAAGAACTATTTAAGATAAACCACATTTGACATAATCATGTGAATGCATGTTTAGATGTGTATGTATACATGTATACAAGTTATGTATGTATACATGTATACAAGTTAATCATATTGTAGTACTCCCTACCACCTTGTGCATGTATCGTCTTTTTCCAAATTTGTGTATTCTGCCTCTTTTTTTATATATGTTTTTTGATTATTTCATGTGTATTTTTTTCCTGTATACTTAGAACATGCTACTGGATGTCTCAAATTTCCCCCCTGGGATTAATAAAGTATCCATAACGATCATTGTGACCAAAACTCTTTATATATAGTGAGGACATTAATGTTTGGTCTATTATTTTTATTTCTTTGCTGTAACATACAATAAACATTATACTGTTGAAAAGGATTTTTGAGGATAATACATTTGTGGGTTGAGGAGCAGAGTGAATTGTGCCCATAAAAAATCTTCTCTACCGAAGCTAAACATCCTCTGATGCTATTGACCCCCTTTTTTTTTTTTTTTTTTTTTTGAACGTCAGGTGGTGATGTTTGTTCCAGAGTGACAAAACAACTACAATGGCTGACTTGTGACAAATGCTGGTTAAAGAATGAGATGCCATCCTGCAGCAATGTGTGACCAAGCAGGTGAGCAGCATGAAGAGGTTGTGTTAGGTTGTTCTTGATGCGTATGGTTCTTCCACATGCTACTGAGACCCATTGCTTGTTAAGAGTAAACTGTTCAATTGCTAATGTGACTTGTTTCTTCTGATTTTAATCATCCAATCTGATAAACACCATCAAGCAAAAGTCAAAAGTAGAATGAGCTGTTTGGCAGAGAAGATTAGGCAAATCTTTTATGGGCGCAACCCACAAACGAACGTATGGCGCCATTTAGGGGCATAGAAACTGGATTTTCAGTGATGTAAAATCAATTGCCAAGAAATTTTGTTTCAACAAAAATAACCAACTAAACAAAAATTTCCATATGTTTTGTAATAAAATTAGTTCGTCACCTGTATAAATCAACCACGATAAGGTTTTTTGTTTGAAAGATTTCTTTGAAAATATGACATTTGAGGCTTCGTTTGAAAAATGTACACAGACTGTTGGTTACAAAAAAATGTGTGCATTATCTTTTCATATCAAAACTTGCAAACATTAGTGGACAAACGCATAAAAAAAATAACAGATTTGGAATTTCACTCCAGTTCACAAATTCAGTCTTTGTATTCCTCAATAAAAACAAGATTAAAGACAAAAAGAATGAGTAAATTATTTGAACTTAAGGCGATATTAGAGGTAAAAATAATCTGAGCCAGAACATGTGAGAATTAAATGATGGGAAATATCAATATTTCAAACATCTAATTCAAAGAACACTATATTAGGAGTATCATCAAGTCACTATAGTATATACGGTAAATATACAAAGCATGTAGGCTGACTTTTTACAACGTATAAAGAATTGTTGAACATCTGTAAGGCACTTTAAGTTGAACATATTTCACTCCTTTTTGGTTTCCTTCATTTAAAAATACTGACACACAACTGGTATAATTGTTCTAGAAGAAAATAAATATGTAAAACCATTAAGAAGACAGCATTTATACAGGATTATTAGTAATTTTGTATATTTTAAACACATTTCTAGTTTGTTTTTCCCTGACATACATGTCCTGTTCCCATTGCCACACATCATCATATTACCATTAAAGCACAATGTCCACAAACAAACTCCTGTTGGTGCTTTCCCACAGTGTTGGTGAAATCTCCAACATGAGTTGTGTTTTCATGGTAGTCCGACTCCTCTGAGCTACAGATTTTCATGTCGAGCCCACAGCTGGAAGTGAAGCTCGGCCACATAACGTTCCCACATTGCACATGGTCTATGAGTACAAGCACATATTTAAACATTCAGAAGAAAAAAATGGAGCGCTTTGGATTCAACAGCAGAACTTGCTCTCAGTCATTGCACTTCAGTCGTTTTTCCACTCATCTTATGAAAAATAAATCGGCAGTCCTGCAATTTTTTTAGATGAAGAACGAAAAAGCTTCACACCTGGTGATACTTCATGTAAACGTGTTGCTTCATATGCCAGTCCTTCATATATAATATGTGAAATTGTCTTTGCTGTATTCCCCACATGGAGATCTTCCCTTAGTTTTCTCAAACTTTAAAAAAAAAAAAACGGCTCAGAAGAAGCTGTGTGAGGAGAGCGGAGGCTTTCAGAACCAACTCTAAAACGTCTGATTCCACTTCGTTCTACTCCACCTTCCAGATGGCGACCTTTCCATCATGGCTGCCAGCTCCGCTCAGAACATATCGATCCTCGGCTGAGCAGAGCGCCGTAACTCTGTCACTGTGACCCTGGAGCTCCTTCAGGATCTCGTAGCGCTCGGAGTCTATGATATAAACCTTCCCTTTAGTTGAACTGCGGCTCAATCCACCAATCCACACCTGGAGAATGAACACACGTATGGCAACATTTACAGAATGGACACCTCTCTGGAATCGGAGCTGTAAAACATGTTTGTTTGCTGCACATTAACCTGTTTTTTAACTTTAATCATGCAGTAGCATCCACTGCAGTCTGGAAGCACCATGCGGTGGAACGGCTTCGTAGTGTCTTTAGTATGCCATATGTACACTTCTGTGGCATCTGCAAACACACACCACAGCTCCTCTTGCTAATGCAAACAAACAAACAAAAAGTTTTAACAGTCAGAACAAAAAAAAAACAAAGCAAGACAAACAAAACGGCGCGTTACCTCAGGTAAGAGCAGAGCAGAGCTTAATGTGGCTCTTTGTTGTTCTGGAAAGTTTATACAATGTTTTAAATTCCCGTTCCTCCACACCTCCAGTATACTGTCCCTTGAACCTACAGAAAGAAAGAAAGAAATAAAGGAACGTAAAAAAACACACACCTCACGTTTTCTGTACTTCAATGCTGCAGCAAGCGTGTGAAACTTACAACACCAGAGCATTTTGCCGCAGCTGTAGACGGACAGCAGGCGATCGCAGGAGAGTCGAAACTGCCTCTTAACCTGCAGGAATGAAAAAGCAGTCAGCGCTAAAGCTGCAAACTGTTTATTTTGTGACTGAACAGCCTTGGTTGGCAGTGATGGGTTTTATTAGGCAGCGAAAGCAAAGACTGACTGCAAACTGACCTGTAGAGTGGAGATGTCCCAGACCATAACGGTTCCCTCGGCACTGCAGGAGTACGCCACTTTCTGGCTGAAAAATAAAACACGTTAAATATTCAGAGTGATTGTTATTACACCAACTGAACATTTAAACTCTAAGAGTAACACATTTTAAAAGCAGAGAATATAACAACATGTCTGATGCATATTTTATCATTAATACTATATATAGGACACGGTAAAAGCTCCAGTACATCAAAGTTTATAGACCAAATTTAAAAAAAAATCCAGTTTAGCCTTCCAATCAACGTCAGGATTGTTCAGTCCTGAAACACTGAACCAACCATCATGAAAACAGTGGAGAACTGAGCACCTGCTTTATAAAACATGATATAAACAAAAAAGTACAAATAAATAAATAACTTAAATATTTGCTGTTAGCTTTGTCTCTTAATATAATAATTACATTGCCTCTACATTTAGTGAACTTGTAAATAAAATAACCATTTGTCTTTAATAAAAAAAAATTAAAAAAAACACGCATATATATGTTTTTTACATCAAATCAGACAGAACACAAATAGCAATCTATTTCTGATACTTTCTCTGTGGTAAGTGGAAAAACTGTGTACGCGTCACCATTCATTCCATTGTTTGGGGTGGCTGCTATGGATGCATCCTCAGCAAGTATGAGAGCAATACGAGTGCTTGTAGCTCTCTTCTAGCCAGGAGACTTATTTTATGCAGATAGAAGGACTTGCATTCCCCAACATATAAACACTGGATAAGAGAAGTTGTGCGTCATTTAACACGTCAGTAAGGTGCTATTTATATAACAGATTTTGGTGGCAGGCCTCAGACTGACAAAGTCTTTTGGATGAAAGATGAAACGTTTCATCCAAGAAGAATCTGTCCAGATGACATGATTTAACATTTTTTTGTGCGATTTATTTACCTGGAAGATTGAGTTTACTTTTTTATGTGTCATATTCATTTGGAAAAGATTAGATACACTGTTGGGGGATCTGTTGGGAGATTTTGGGACACCTGGTGGCCATTTGTGTCGTATATTGAAACTGTGTCAGTTAGGGATGAACGCTATCGGCATAGTATCGGTCGATATTAGAGATAAAGTTAAATATCGGGCATCGGCCATTCCATCAAAATAACTCACCGATATAAAAGGCGCTGCTTATGAGTAAATGTCACGAATAAATTTGACATTAAACATAATCCAAGTTGAAGTGTTACATCATTATCAGTCCCCTTTTTGGCATCTGCATTTGGTAGCAGGACAAACTGACAAAGACCATGCAGAATAATGTAGTATTTTAATTCCACAGCAGAGAAAGCTATGTAGTCTCTGTAAGTAGGTCTATGAAAAAATATATCGGTTATCGGCCAAATAAGTTTAACATATTGACATTTCCTGATGCATGCTCAATAATCCAGGTAGAAAAATCTAAAAAAGTTAAATCTGGTCCTCTGGACATTCAAAAAAACAAGGCAAAGCAAAACAACAAAAAAATGTAGAAACGTTTCGTCTCTCATCCGAGAGACTTCCTCAGTCTGAGGTGCTGTATTCAGCTCAGTCTCTTAAATAGCACCTTCTCAGAGTGGATCAACCAGTTTTGCTGCTGACAACCAAAACCAGCTGATCACATGCTCAAGAAGGACCATCAGCCTAACAATGGATCATTAGCACACTGATGGCTGTTTGCCTAACGATGGATCATTCACTCTGTGAATAGTAAACAGCCATCAGTGTGTTATTTTATCATATTTCCTGTCAGATCCAGGCGAGTACCATGTCTTAACAGAACAGTGTCCTTTTGTTGCTTATCTGAGAGCAGCCGTGTCTGCGTCACCTGTACTTGTCAGTATCCAGGGCCAGTCCAGTGACCTCTGCCCTGTGTTCAGTCAGCTGCCTGTTGCAGACCATGGACAACACGCTGATGATGTAGATGACGCAGTCCTCAGAGCCCATCCAGACCTGATCCTTGTCAACTCCCAGGATGCAGTTCTGCAAACAGAGATGCTCTTCAGGTGGTTTGTAACCAAGAAAATGTAAAGAACCTGAAGTTTGCAGATACAATAATATAAAACTATATTTCTGGATGGATTTAAAAAAAAAAAAAGTTGAGTGAAAAAGTTTTGTTTGAAAACACAGAATCATTTCAGCGTGTTAGCTTAGCCTTTTGACGTCCTTATTTACAAAACATTTAGAGTACAACTGTTTTTTTCACAACTTAAACAGAACTGAACACAAATAAATTGCTTTGAGGAAGCAACAATAAACAGTTTTGCTTGTATTCAAATTCAAACTTTGTTTTCAAATGCGATGAAGTCACGAAGAATAAAACCACCGCAGACCATCACGATACAACACACACAAATCAATCAACAGGAAGTTTAAGTTACAAATCTGTAAATAAATAAATAATATTCAAATAAATAAATGAATAAGCTAGCAAGCTGGTAGGATTAATCATTTTAGAAAAATGGAAAAAACATTTAAATACTACTATCAGATTGTAAAAAAAAAAACATTGTTGCAAAAAATATTGTGATTTAGTGACAATAAATATTTTCTAACTGAGGCATATTTGTATAAAAGTATAATCTTAAGAGTGTATTCCCAACATTTTATGGTTTACTAAAGCATAAAAATGCCATTTGTGAAACTCTATGAAACAATACCCAAGTTACCCACTGGGTGGCAGAAGTGTTCAGATAAAGAAAATACATGTCAAATCCACCAGTTTGTTTTTTAAACACATTTACTCTCAACCTAAAACTACGCATATGAAACAGCTTTCTACATTTATTTTTTGCTACATCTAAAAAAAACATTGTAAACTCATAGAAAATGGGATTTTCCTTCCTCTGTTTAATGTGTGGTAGCAGCTGACAGTCATTCATAACGTACACTCCAGCAAGATATTGCAATATTACATGAGGTGCACTTAATATTAATATTTTTAATATGATTTACAGGTGATATGCATTTCCTTATGGAATGCTGGGTCGTCAATATTTTATTTAGGGATGAAATAACACTTAAAAGCTTCACATTTTCCAGAAAATAACTGTAGGATCATATTTTTCCATAAAAACCTTTAATCTCATCTTTTATTAACCTAACCTATTAAAAATATATTTTATTATTATTAACCTAGTTATCTCATGGACAGCAGTTTTAATGCTAGCTGGAATTTAAGAGCTCTGAATAAATTGCCCAAATATCCAATCTGTCATTTTATTGCACTAATTTTCCTCCAGGACTTTAAAAGTACAGGAACTCGTAGGCTGTGACTAAAGATGGCGTACAACCTTGCATAACGAATGGGGGAGGTGAAAGTTGAATGAATTCTTGTTAGTCATTGGAATATGTTCTTTTGAGTGAATGTGGCTCACTGAACTCGTCTTTGTGTCTTTTTGTTTAACCGACCGAGCTTTGCGTATGACGGACAGTTTGATAAGGAACGGAGAGAGGTAACGCAGCGTTAATAAAGCAGTGGCTTATATCGCTAAAGACACGGTCCCAGTTTCAACTGTGGAACAAGACGGCTAAAGACAACAGTTGTGAAGGTGGCGTAATTGAAGATTATTATTTAATATATGTAAATAGTTTATTTTTTTAGACTTTTATTTTGTACAGTTTCAGCTGGTTTCTAGTAAATGTGCCTGTGTGACAACTGCGACAAAGATTCGACTCAGAAATATATTTTTGTTATTATATTATGGAAAGAAAATAATATTGATATATATATATTGTATATCGCCATTCATCTGAAAATATCGAGATATTTTCATCCATATCGCCTAGCCCTAATAAATCAATACTTTTAAGTCACTTTTAAGGACAGAATATCTGTATATAGATGTTTTTTAAATTTTTTATTATTTGTTGCTGCGTCTTGATGCTGTTGAGCTGCTGCACCCAGAGCTGTGTCTCTGTGTGTAGTTTATGTTTCTTACCACTCTTGCATTCCCAACTTGACAGGTGTGCATTAGAGACCAGGTGGAGGCATCAAACACCATCACCTTCCCTCCACTCGCAGACACCCACAACTGACCTGAAAAACACACACACACAGAGTTTATTGATCATATTTTAGTGACGTCATCACAACCATGTGACTTCAGGGATCAGACTTTGCTGATTACCAGTGGTTACAATTACATTAAATATTTACAAGGTATAATAGTATTTGAGGAAAAACAAACTTGGGAAATATTTGTAATTTTATGTGATCAGTGGGGCGGCACAGTGGCACAGTTGGTCGAGCCACCGCCTCTCAGTGAGAAGGTCGCCAGGTTGAATCCTGGCCGAGGCACCAGCGACCCCCATGACCCGAAAAGGAACAAGCGGTTAAAGATAATCGATGGATGGATATGTTTTTTTGTTGTTGTTTATTTAAGGAGCCCCATTAGTTTCTACCATAGTAGAGACTATTCTTCCTGGGGTCCACACTTAAAACATTTTAATTAAATCAATCTTTTACGAATGTACAAAAGACATAACAAAATACCTAAGATAAAAACAAATACACAATATAAAAATTCAAACCAACTGTCTCAATAACAGTTTACAAGCATTACAAAATGACAAAATACTGCACTTTAAAACACACAAGAATTAAAAACACAAAAATTCACCAAGTCCAACGTTAATCTTCATTGCCATTGTAAATTTATCAATTCATCAAATCAGTTTTAGTTCATCATCTATTATAGATTTTTTAAGATTATTTTTAAAATTAACATGATGGGCAATTAATATGATATGTGATCAGTAAGAGTCCGATCACGTTTTTATTTTTTTCTATTGAAAATCTCTGCGATGAGACAGGACAATCCAACAGTTTAAATGAAAACACTTCATGGCTGAAGGTATTTTTCCAACTCCACCCAGGCTAAATGTCAGATTTCCTCCCACATTTTCAGTTACCATTTATAAACACATCACAGATGGAAAAAGAGAGAACGTTGCTTCCTGAGCATAGAAGTACAACAAAAAGAGTGACTAAAATATTCAAGCAGAAAGCAGGGAGTGGTGAGGAGAGGTGGGAGAGACCGAGGTCTGTGCCAGAAATTCAGTTCTGTGACCTATATTCAAACTGGAAAGGATGTCTGAGCCAGAGTGGGGCAGTGTGGGAGGGCATGAATAGTCGTGTTCTTTTCTGCAACAGAAAACCCAAAGAGGAGACTACTACAGAAGACGTGTATAACTCATGTTGATATGGGGGAGGAGATGGGGTGAGTCTGCCACCAGCTCTGGTCCAAGTGGCCCCAGATGGTTTTACATTGAAGGCCCCAGCTTTGTTGTTCTTTTAGTTTCTCTGCCACGTCATGAATCCAGTCTGCCACCCACAGACACAAACAGGCTGTTTACAGCAGCCCTTTTTACAGAGCTCTAAAGTTGTACTTTTATTTAACCTTTAATTACCAGGTGGGACATTAAGAACAGTTTCTTATTTAAGGTGTCAGCCTGGCAGTGCTCTATAAATCTGTGAAAGATGCACATACAAATAAACCAAAGAAATATATAAAAATCTCATAAAACATCGAGGAAAAGACAAATTGAACTAAAAACGTAAAGAAAACCGAAGGATTCGGGAACTCTGAAAACTCGTGAAATTTCTAGAAAATGGTTCCAGATTGGTCAAATTTCAGAAAGCGGAACAAAGAGGGGGTGAATAGGATGGTCACAATAACAAATTTTGCTGGGAAATTAATTGTCTCAGAAATTATTACGATAAACGATAATATTGTTTGAAATTTGACAATTATTAGTAATTGTTGTCAACTTTAAGAAGAAATGTTGAATTTTTGTGTGTGGCACCTTTTTTGAACACCAGATGGCAGTATAAGACTGTTGAACCGAAGGATGGATAGTGAGGGAGAGAACAGCGTGCCTCTAAGAAAAATGGGAGGGAGACCCCTTGACGTGACATGGGCTGTCTCTCGTTCGTGTTTTTCGGTTCTCAAAATGGCGGATGCTCGGTGTGGTTTGAGCTCTTTCGCAAAAAAAAAAAAATCAGTAAACAAGTTCTCAGCTTGTTTTTGTAGAGAAAAACAGCTTTTTAGACGAAGGCGCAGATTTCAACTGAGAATTTCGGAGCTTTGACAAGGTGGAGGTTTCGTATCCGAGGTTGGCCTGTTAGCTTAGCTCGTAGCTTAGCTTTTCGGCTAAGCAACTTTTTTTTAACCGTCCAAAAACGCGATTTTGGACGGTTAAAACGGATTTTAAAGAGAAAAGGAGGAGTCAGTGAAGAGCACCGGAGTTGAGTCTTTTGTCATCCAGTGTCTTCAGTAGAAAGAGCGAGGCACGAAGAAACGATAAAGCCGATAAATGAAAATGAGGTTGATCATTTTAATTTATCATGCGATTAATTGATTTATTGTTTATTGCGACAGGCCTAGAGGTGAAATAAAGAAATACATCGTCTCAAAGCTGTACAGATTTTTTTTATGTGAAGAGCAGAAGGCTCTTCATCTGAACAATGAGGTCTAAATATTACACCACTGCACTTTTATTATGCCTCCGCACTTTATCTTTTTATAAATATTCTAATAAGACTTTAAATTTAGCTGTAAGTTTAGCTATTCAAACAATGCTGATACAGTATGTGACACCTGAAAGAAAGGAAATGACAGAATAATAGTATTTAAATGTTTTATGTTTTTTCTGACTTTATGAGCTGTACCTTAAATGCAGCACAAAGTCTCCAGTTCATGAGCTGTAGAGTTTAATTACATTGAAGTTTCACAATCAGTCATTCAGTTTCAGTTTGCATGAGGCAACAGCTTTGCTGTACCCTAAAGATTTTGTCTGGTTTTACAGAAATGGGAAATAAAACTGAGTGAATTTACACCCTCAGCTTTCAGCCACAGTATGTTTTCAGCTGCAGAACACACCGAACAGCAAAAAGCATTTTAACTGTGTAGTACCTTTGAATTTATGGTATAAAAACACGGGACATTTTTACTGTACGGATTAATGTTTTCCTAAAATTTGACATTGAAATGAGTGAATATTTTAGGTAAATATGGTTTTTATTCTGTGCTTTCACAACTTCCACTAAAGATATAAACTTCCCATTTATGACTTCGTACAGTAATCTTGAGCTTTTCTTCTCTGTGAGTTTTTAAATCTCTTCTACCTTCCAGTAAAGAGAACAGAAATGGAGGAAGTGATGTTTTATTAGCAGCTTCAGGTTTCTATTTTTCCTGTTATTGGACAATGTGATCAAGTTTAACTACAAGTGTATGACTCAAATGTCATGTCACTGACCGAGTGCTGGGGTCACACAGCTAAAGTGAAACAACTCCGGTTCTCCAAGGAACCAGTCAAATCTCAGAGGCCCTCACTGACCAATCAGAGAAGAGGAACCCAACACCTGTCATCAGGGTGATGATAAGAATGCCTGAGAGGCAGCTCGGTTACAGGACACACTCAGGAGCATTCTTCGTACGTGTGTGTGTGTGTGTGTGTGTGTGTGTGTGTGTGTGTGTGTGTGTGTGTGTGT